CGGTGTATTCCTTCCATCTTCTCTTGCTTGCTGCATCATTCAATAATTTGCCCAGAGAATCTTTCAATAACGAAAGTCGAGGCTTGAATTTTTTCTCCAGTTCCCCCAGCTGATCTGTAACTAGCTTCAATACCTAATAACTAAACCAACTCCATTTTGTTTAGGTTGGTAGATCCATCCACTAACACGTGTCTGGATGATGTGGTAAGTGTGTAGAGTAGGTTCTGACTCATAGTGACTCTGTATAGTGTTTCCGAGGAGCAACTGGTGGGTTTGAACCACCTATTTTGCGGTTAGAAGTCCAGTGCTTACCCTACTGTGCCACATCGGCCGTAAGTATTGTCACATAAAGATAAACGAAGTCCTGATACCTGCTACAACATGAATATACGCTAAAACAAACATGCTCAAGGAAAAATGCCAGACATAAAAAGACAGCTATTAGCTGGTCCCATTTATAGGAAGGAGTCCTGGTGTGGCGCTGTAGGTTAATGCGCCAGACTGCAAAGCCGTTTGAACTGCAAGGTTGACAGTTCAAGCTCACCAGCTGCTCCTTGGAAACCCTATACAGGGTCACTATTGGTCGGAATCAACTCAAAGGTGCTTCACAACAACAACAATGTATAGGAAAGATTCTGAATAGGCAAGTCCATGGAGGCAAAAAGTGGATGAGTGATCCCCTCCCATTGTGACTGTTTACAGATTGGGGGTGGGGGGCATGGGGCAGGTGAGAATGTTCTGGAACTATCTAGAGATGATGGTAACACAGCACTGTGAATATCCTAAATATCACTGAGTCATTCACATTAAAATGCTAAAATGTATGTTAGATGAACTTTATTGCAATTGCTAGAAAGTGAAAGGGGTCAGGAAGTGGGGGGAGGTGAATGGGAGGAATGAAAGACAAAAGGAAGGGAGGAAGAGCTGAAGAAAGAACAAGGCCGGCAGGGAAGGGTTAGGGTTGCGAATTGGGGAGGGGGTGGTGATACCATTCACGCACAGGATTGAAGGAGGGGCGCGCAGAGGAAAAATGTAGGGTCCTTGGGCTGACGCCAAAAGAAAAATGAATTGTTTAAAATTTCGTTCAAATTAAAAATCAAACAAAAACCCAACGATAAAGTAGGCGCTCTGAACAGCTGAGGACGCACCTGTAGCGCCCTAGAAAGCTATGGGGCGGGGTTTCAATCCCCAGTCCCCTCGGATCCGGGAGGCCGGGAGGGGGCGCCGGTCGCAGATTTTGGCCCAGAAGAAGAGACTTTGTCCCTAGTTAACGAGTTTTCTTCGAGTTTCCGCGTCCCCGCCGAGCCCCGCCCGAGTCCTATCCAGTGCCCCCTGCCGCCTCCACTGATCTTAGAACGCCTATCTCCAGCGGGACGCGCGGACCCCTGAATCCCCAACCCCAACCTCTGGACACTACCCGCTACCGGCCCTCTTCGAAACCCCCCTACTCTCCTGCGCCCTTTTTGCGGCCCCGATTGCCCCCTATAAACGCTCGGACTCCTCCCCGACCCTCCTGGGGTACCCGATTTCCGGCCTCCATGGCCCAATCGTATGGCGCCCGGGTGCTGGCCGCAATGACCCTGCTGGGCATCCCAGCGGCCGTGCTAGCTGCCTTAGGAGCGCAGCTGCTGTTTCAGCTGCAGGCGGGACGCGCTGAACTGCGGGGACCCCGCGCCGAGGTCCTGATCCCGGAGCTGGGCGCTGGACCCGGGCTGCCAGAGGACGCGGCCGGTGCGCTGCTGCCGCTAGCCGCCGCGCTCGCCGCGCTCGCCCTAGTGCTGGCCCTCACCTGCCTGCTGCTCGCCGCGCTCTGCGGTCACCTAGGTGCCGAGATGGCACGGGGGACCAGCCCTGGCAGGTAGGAGCATGTGGCCCACCTCTGGACGGGACGCCAGCTGCAACGCTGTGGTAACCGCTGCCCCTCTGGGTCCTCAGATAGGGAAAGAACCTTCTTCATCCATCCCTCTCACCCTCTTCCTCTCCTTCCTTCCATGCCTTTTCTCCCCACTTCCCTTTTTGCCTACTTTTCTCACTTCTTCCTTCCCTCTCTCTCTCCTTCTAACCGTCTATCAATTTACCCATCCTTCCTTCATTCCTTCCCTGCCTCTCTCTACCCACCCATCCATCCGTTTACCCAACTACTCATGAATCCATCCATCCATCCACTCATGAACTCAGCTACCCATCCATTTTTTCTCGCCCTCACTCACTCCATTTATCCCTCCCTCCCTCCTTTCTCTCCTTTCATCCACCCTCCTCTTCGTTTAGCTATCTCTTCCTCCCTCCTTCCACTCCTACACACACACACACACACACTACATCCTATGTTTGTTGGAGTTTTTCAGCTGGTGCCTCTGCAGCTGCAATGCATTTACAGATGAGACCTCATCTGTAAATGGATGGCAGCATCATGATCTGTGAAATGAGGGCAGGCAGGTAAGTGTCTGACACAGAGTAGCTGTTTTGTGAATGCTGGATATTGGGGTAGACAGATGGGTTATGGGAGTGGGGATGGGTGGATGGAGATGGATAGATGAGCAGGAGAGTAGAAGATGATGGATGGATGGATGAATGGATGATGAATAGGGGTGGATGGTAGGGATGGTTGACTAATGCTACCATTACACAAATACCACAGTGGGTTGCTTTAAGAACAGGCTTATTATCTGGAGACAAACATTTCAAATGATGCACTCTTTGCTGATAGCTGTGTATGCCTTGGAATCATTTAAATAACAAAAGGGCACCTTCTGCATGCCTGCCTCCTGGCCACCAGCACTCAGCCACTCTCTTTCCTTGAGTCCAGAGTCCTCAGCTACTCCCTCTCTTTGTGTCCTCATCTCTGGTGTCACTGTTTCTCTGGGTCCCGCATTCCGCTTGTGCTCTTCTCCCTTAATGGTCCGAGGGTCCTCTGCTTCTGGATTGTAAGATTAACTACTCCCCCGTTTTTATTACAAAACCTCTACCTTTACAGTTGTGACAGTCTTAATGTCCAGATAACAATTACTCACTATTGAATCACAAGAATCCTATCCCCATCTTCTTTCATCAGACACCTCTAGACAAGATGTAAACTATTCAGTGGGGACTCTACTCTCCCCCACACACTCTTAAACTAAACTCCCTTTTGAAAACTTGTAAACCAGTTACTTTGTACCTCTATCACCCCCTCATTTTAGGTAGCCAATGTCTAAATTGCCTGTCTCTATCTACCCTGCATACAGATGGAATAGGATTGATACTTGATGTGAAGATTCCTTCCCTCTCTGTTGGTACCTTGACCTACTACATCCATAAGTATAGGTCAAGTTCATTAAATTGCAACAATCTACACTTGTTTCCTTCATCAAAAAAATTTTTTTTTAATCTTCCTCTAGTCAAGTACCAAGGAGCTCTGGTAGCATAGTGGTAACGACTCGGGCTGTGAACTGCAAGGTCAGCAGTTTGAAACTACCAGCTGTTCCGCAGGAGAAAGAAAACTCTGTACAGCGTAGCTATGAGTCGGAACCGACTCCGGCACACAACCACCAGTCAAGTTCTGATTAGCAAGCCATCGAGGCTAGGTCAAATGGGTACTATCTGCAAGTTTGGGTGTTCTTGTTTGTCTCCCTTCACTTCATACCAGCTGGATGCTTTACTCTCAGCTCTAGCCCTCTGTGGTTATGTCCTTGTCCATGGGCTCAGGTGTCCCCAGATCTCACCACACTTCGGACCAACCAGCTCTTCCTCTTCTCTCTCTCATCTCCAGGAAGTCTATGGAACATGGTTGAACTCAGCCTATTTCTTCATCACTGCCTTTCCCCTTCTTCCACTCACCAGTAGACCAACATAGTCGCCAGCAAGCTTACATGCCTGCTCATGTGTTCCCTTGGAGTTTCAGTCTTGGAGGGGGGTTTGTCCTGAAGGGAGTTGATTGCTTGCCTTGATGGCTCCCCAGCAAACAACTTGCTTGTTCTTGTAGTAGCCAATCATACTGCCATTTTTGTTTTGGCTTTTTCCTGCTGATTTTTCTTTGAAGATGTATCTTCTGTCGCTCTAGCTGTTCCAGGCTGGTCTAATCTCTTCTTATAACTCAGAAGTTATTTGATTTAGAATCCACCCCACTCAGGTACGATCTGATAGCATAACAAAAAAAACCCTATTTCTAAATAGGATCACATCCATGGACACAGGAGTTAAGATTGTAACACATATTTTCAGGTCATAATTTAATCCATGGATTCATGGGCTATGGGTAAATGGAGAGATGGGATGGTTGAATATTTGATGGCGGTGGAGGAATGGCCAGATAGTGAATGGATGCTGTTTAAATGAATTGATGGCTGGCTGGCTGGATATGTGGTTGAATTATTAGAAATATATCATTAGGCAGCTGGATGGATGGGTAAATGGGTAGATGGGTGGGCAGACAGACAGATGGGTGGGTGTTTGGGTGGCTAGAGAGATGGACAGAAGGGTGGATGGTAAATGGATGGATATCTGGTGGACAGATGGGACGATATACCAGTGGTGGTTGAATGGTTAAATGATTAGGTAGCTGGATGAATGGATGAAAAGATGGTGGATCAGTGGATGGATGTGAAATGGGTAGGTAGGAGGCAGTTAGGTCTTCATTCAAGCTGCTCCCCTGCATTCCCTCCCCCCCAAACCCACCTCCTAAGGCCTTTCCTTCCTTCTCCATGCCACCCCCTCCCCACCTCCAGGTCTGACTGGTTTCTCTATGACTGCCGCCTCCTCAGACACGTGGCCCTTGGCCTCTTCTGCTGTGGGATCTCCGTCTACTTGGCAGGTGTGTGCTGGGGGTGGGGAGGATTCAGGGTGCAAGGCCTTGGGTTGGAGTGGCCAGGGGTAATTGGCACCCTGAAAAGGGTCAACTCTGGAGCCAGTCTGTTGCCGTTGTCTAGTGCTGTTGAGTCTGTTCTGATACATAGCGAGCCTATAAAGGGCTTCCAAGGAGCACCTGGTAGTTAGAAGTCCAGTGCTTATCCTACAGTGCCACACCAGGAGCCAGCCTATGTAGGTTCACATCTTGGCTCTGATATTTTCTTTCTTT